AAGCAAAACGCTAGAAATCAATTAATGATAGTTACWGCATTAGTGTTTCTTCCGTACAAGTTATAATTTCCGCATCATGGCATCAGGCCGCGATAGGAAACTACAAGAGAGTAACATGACGTACACATATTACATATTTTGTTTATTAACCTTTTCAGGTTATACTCATTGTAAAGTCACTTTAGGTTTTCTTTGCAATCATGCATGAACTGTATGTGTGAGAGAGAGAGTCTTACCCRTCTATCAGCGGAGTAGCCTTCATGATTTCAACTGCCCTCGCTATGTAGTCAGCATATCTTTTTCCACGATGATTTGGCGAAGCAGAGACGGCGATAGCTAGCAAGAAGACCGCAAATATAGTTTGTAGGCCTTGCATAGTGGGGTATTTTATACAGAGTGCGCGGCGCTTGTCCGTTACGCATAAACAATTAACGCGGTCTAAGGGGGTGGCTGGCAGCTCAAACAATTGAACCTAACCCCTACCACGACAATACCAAATAATATTCGTGAGTTTCCAGTGTCGGTTCCTGTGGATTACATTTCCTCTTCCTGTAGTGTTGACTAGTAAATYATGTTGTAATCCGGATTTCTCAGTCACTATGAATCAAACTAAATAACTCARTGTCATTAAGGGTCAAATATTCAACATGATTTTTTATATATATATTTTTTTTTTTGTTCCGAAGAAAATTAAGAAAATCTAAAAAACACATTACAGTCAACATATAAAACAAACGGATTACGAAAGCAGGCTAACATACATATATGGTCAATAAAGCTATGTGATTTTATGTTAAAACGTTATCAACTTATCGTACGCAGGATTCATGTTATGATACTAATAAAATCAACGTAAAAGAAGCAATACCTATTAACAGTCATAACTCTTTCAGCTGTAAATGAGTCTTCTTTGTGTTTTGGGTACTGTATTGATTTTTCACGCTCTCTGTGTGGTCAGCGACCGTGCGTTGCTGATATTGCTGCAGTGATGAACTAAGTTGAAAAAGTTTTTTTTTAAAAGTTTATTCAATTTTTGAGACCTATTGAAAAAAATTACAGGTAATGAAAAACGGAGAAATTTGAAATGAAAAACCTCTGAACGACGTCGCGCGACATCAACGTTGTGTTCAAATCTGTCAACGTTTTAGACCAGCCTTTGTCTGAGCAATGATAACTTGTCGCACAACAAAAAAAAGGTCATGAAAAAACACTGAACTTTGCGTGGCTCGTTGAAGTTTTTTCATTTTTTTTCTTCTCATTTTCCACCTAACTGTCCTGCAATTAGCCTGATACTAATCGATGCTGGGCAGTGGYTATATACGCTAATCTATATAGAATTATAAAAACCTAAAATCGTAGAATGTTATAATACAGTAAAAACCCGCGTATAACAACACCTATTTTGGCGGTTCAGGCTGATTTGGTTCTTATATAAAGGGTTATAAATCGCAGCCTGTAAGTGTTCTTAAGTGTTCTTAAAAAACGTTTCTTAAAATAAGGAACATACTTGGCTCCCAATAGATGAAATCATTATCAATGCACACAATTTTAATTAATCAATACAATGATGTAACTATTTTGATTAAAAAAAAATGATAAATCAATATGTGCAATGAAAAGTAGTGTTGATCTTTGATATGTTTCCGATATAAGAACAACTTTCATTTTTCAGACTGAATGTGTTCTTATATTAATGGTACTTTATTTCCTATAAAATCAGGCCTGCATGGTGTTCTTAATCCACTTGTTCTTATACGCGGGGTTTTACTGTATATTCTCATTTGATATGACATCCTATTTTCTTCTGTTTGCTAGGTAGTTTACCCGCGGTTTGCCTTTTGCACAGCTTCTGTTTTCAAGTTGAGGGGAGACACYTTTACTGTACCCCCATAGTGKGGTACAGCCGCACCYTCTCCCCCACCGTAGTTTGGACGACATGTCAGGTTAGCAAAGAAGCGATACTCGTCATATGGRGGGACGTCCTTCATTCCTGCASCAACCTAAAGGGACAAAGATTACATACGTCAAATACGTAGAGCCAATAAACCGTGAGTAGCAAAGGGACACATTTCACTATAGTGTACTTCACAGCCCAATTGTTGAGCGTTCCTGGAATCGTTCCTGGAACAGTGCGAAAAACTGGAAAAAATCGCGCGCTTTAAAGGTTGTAGATTTGATGTAAATATGATGTAAGTGTCCAAAATGATGTAAATTTGATGTAAATGAWTTCCATTAAATTTACATCCGGCATTTTGGACACTTGCATCATATTTACATTAACTTGTTTACAACCTTTAAAAGCGCGCGATTTTTTTCCAGTGCGAAGGAGGCAGTAATTCTCACGAGAGAATGAGACTGAAACTCTCTTAGTCTATCCGTCACTTGTTTTCTTAAATAGAACTTAAATCTATCGTTAAAATAATGTTTTCTTTTATAGTAAAGTGACAATGATTATAACAAGGAAGATTGACTGCATTTTTTCAAGATATAGAAAGAATGGGTCCAGGGTAGTAGGACACAATCATATGYAAGGTTTAGTCGAGTACCCCCTGAGCTTTGAGTGCACGATGCTCACATTGCCTCCCTTGCAGCCGTTAGCAGAAACTAAACACGGCTGCAACAGAGACGACTGTTGCGAGAGAAAAAAAACAACTGAAGAAATRGAAGGAAATCTAGTCGGTTGTCTATGGCAGTTTTCGGCGGACATAACTCTGCAATTCCTAAGAACTAATCATTTCCATATAAAGGCTGATTTACACGGTACGATTTTATCGCGCGCGACTTGTAGTATAACGGTTTTCCTACTACAAGTCGTAGGTTGTGTACGACTGTTGTAGACAAGTCGTAGGGGCATTTACACTGCGCGATTCAAGTCGTATACTACAAATCGCACGAGACAATCGTGCCGTGTAAATCAGCGCTAACATTCTTTATGTATTCAAGTTTACCTTTTCTGCTTTTTCAAAAACGCGCAGGAGGTTGTCACCTATTATCTTTTTAACTTCCTCATCTGTATAGCCTTTCTCTAGCAGTCTTGCAATTAGATTTGGATATGTTGACACATCCTTCAATGCWGGTGGGAGACTGKATAGCAATAAAACAACAAAGTGAGGTCGAAAATGTACGGCAATTRCATCTTGAAGCCACACAAGGCTGTAAAACGTCATGTGCATTATTTCCTTTTTTATTGGGAATGATTCCTGGGGGAAACGGAACAAACTATAGTTCTCGCTACCGTACGGGACGCCATCGATCAGAAAAAAAAACAACCTTGCAACCCGAGCCCTCGTTTCTTAGGCCAACTTTCACCCGTTTAATTTTTCAGGACTGGACACTGAACAGAACCACAGAGTAGCCTGGTACGAGTTGCATTCAGACAGCGAGTTTCCCAGCGAGGTCGGAAATTAATTTTTCCGAATTTATTCCTAAGGGTCTTTCTCCCGGAATTGCCTCCTTCTAAGCACTATAACTTCCTTTCATTTCTATATCTCTTGTCAACCATGTCACTCCTCTCAATTCTTTCTCTCTTTTCCCTCCCTCCATAACTTCTTCATAGCTTCATAACTTCAGTTTTTTTCTTTCTTCCTTCTCTCCAGCAAAAAAATGGCACAACTCCTCCTATTCATCCTGAAATGTTATCACTTACTTTACAACTCCATCATAATCAGCCCCTAAACCAATGTGGTCAATGCCAGCTACGTTCTTAATATGATCGATATGATCTGTAATAGGAAGCAAAATGTATTTCCATCAGCATACCAAGCTGACGAGAGAGCTCGTGGAGAGTACRTTTAACATTAGTTTAGACTGAGAAAAGCTGAGCAAAGTGAGGAGAAACTCACTGAATGATTTAAATCTGCATGCAAATAAGCTGCTTTGAACTTGGGTGGAATCGTTTACGCGTTAGCTAATACGCTTCAAASTCAGGCACCGCGGMGCCGGTGTTACTTAGGGGGGAGGGGAGGGGGAGGCTGAAACTATTTGTGTTCAAATCGACTGGGCAGTCAGTATGCATCCTGATGTTATATTACCAATACATGCTGTTCGCAGCTGTCATCAGCGATGTGAAGAGAAAAACAGAACAAAAAATAAGAGTAAAAGAGAAAGAAACAGAAATATTCGGGTAATAGTACTTACTGACGACCTGYTCCAGCGTCGAGTTTTTACCGCAGTTAATAAAATAGGAAGCGAAATTGACCATCACGACGCCGCCATTTTGTGGCTGTTGAAGTGCAATAGAACCAGTAAAT